TAAGTTATTATTGCATACTGTTTTATAATGTATTACAATGCTGAGGTGCAGATAATTGCCACTTGCAATAAGTAATTAGCAGAATATCCTGCTATTTTAACATAGTATAAATAGAATCTATAGCTATTTGCACTTGGTGTAAATAGCATATGATATCACAAAAAAATATTGCTATTTTCACTAAGTGTAAATAGCCTCTATCGCCCCTCCACCCCCCGTGTGTACAGCACCCCCAACCTAAAACATCTTCCCGCGCCCCTGCTAATAAATGTAATATTTAGCTACCTGTGCCCTTCAGCAAGTAGGAAATATACAGAAATTGAATAAAGTAATCAAACACTAAATTCTAAATTAAATCTAGATGAATCCTTAAAGCGCTTTTTTCTTTTGTTCTTTGATTGACAGACATCACAGCAGCTGGTTATATGGTTATTTGGCTGCTTTAAGAGCTGCCGCTGCTGAACATGACGCGGATCTGACAAGCATCGTATTTTCACAACTCTTTATCATTTCTGGCCTGCTTGAGGTTTAAAGTCTCTACTAATGAGCTGACGGGTTGAATCGGGTGTGTTAGATGAGGGAGACAGTGCTGGGCTGCTCCAGTGCATTTCAGAGGCATGTTCTTAAATGTGACTCATATATAACAAATACTTACATGCATGCACAGTTTTAAGGCAGCTTTAATCGCTTTTTTTTGGGTAACTTTATGACTTAACAGACATCATAACTATGACATTGCATGCTCATAGTTTCATCTGTGCTTTATAGCGATATAGAACTTTAATATAATACAGAGCATGTGCTACGAGCACAGTATAACAGCTGACAGGACAGGAAAATTGGTTTTTACTGACATATGGCCTGACAACATCTCATCTGACCGCAGTTCACTGTTGTTCTACTGAAGCTCCCTCGTCACCTGCACCTTTTCCGTGCGTGTTTGACTAGCACCTGGCGCTGAGGTGAAGTTGGAGTGCATGTCTGAAAAGACTCCCATTTGATGTGGTCGTAAAGACGTTCTGCGTCTAAATAAAAAGAGACAGAAGCAGCAGTTGTGAGTGGGGTGGCCAACCCTAGCTCCGCCGCTGTGTTAATTGCATTAAATATTTTTAAAGCCGTTAAACTGAAAAAATTAATCACATGCGTTAACGCGCTAATTTTGACAGCACTAATTTACACGAAAATTATGCATCCATTGTGAAAAATCATGCAAACATTATTCACACCAGGCTTAAGCATAACACACTATCAGCACTATCAATATGTTAAACTCCTCTCTGAGAAGTTGTGTCTCTTTAATTATTTCGCTTTAAAGCACAGCCATTTACATTGGATTTACATTGCATCTAAATCAAACTGAAAAGAAAAACTTGGTAAAGCTCACAAATAGTCTGTTGGTAAACGACTAGTTGCCCAACTTCTCTAATCTCTCTAAGGAAGCAATGAAGATGGTTTTGGCACAGCTGACCAGGCATTGCATCCATCTTGATGTTTTCCTTCCTTTTCCTTTCCTCCAATCTCAAGTACCTCTCATGATGAAAGACCTTCTCTCTCTCTCTCTCTCTCTCTCTCTCTTGGCTGTTACTTGCATTTCAAGATGGTGAACATTGGCTCATCTTACAGCTATGGAACAGAGGACCAGGCTGAATTTCTCTGTGTGGTGTCAAAAGAGCTGCATACCTCAGGTGGAGGTTTGGGGACAGAGCAGAGCCACAAGACTAAGGTTGGAGGACCTACAGACACATACACTCATTTTGTGCTCTCCGTGCCAGCTCACAAACACTGTAAAGCACAGTGACTCATTCTTATAAATGTCATATTTAGCTACCTGTGCCCTTCAGCAAGTAGGAAATATACAGAAATTGAATAAAGTAATCAAACACTAAATTCTAAATTAAATCTAGATGAATCCTTAAAGCGCTTTTTTCTTTTGTTCTTTGATTGACAGACATCACAGCAGCTGGTTATATGGTTATTTGGCTGCTTTAAGAGCTGCCGCTGCTGAACATGACGCGGATCTGACAAGCATCGTATTTTCACAACTCTTTATCATTTCTGGCCTGCTTGAGGTTTAAAGTCTCTACTAATGAGCTGACGGGTTGAATCGGGTGTGTTAGATGAGGGAGACAGTGCTGGGCTGCTCCAGTGCATTTCAGAGGCATGTTCTTAAATGTGACTCATATATAACAAATACTTACATGCATGCACAGTTTTAAGGCAGCTTTAATCGCTTTTTTTTGGGTAACTTTATGACTTAACAGACATCATAACTATGACATTGCATGCTCATAGTTTCATCTGTGCTTTATAGCGATATAGAACTTTAATATAATACAGAGCATGTGCTACGAGCACAGTATAACAGCTGACAGGACAGGAAAATTGGTTTTTACTGACATATGGCCTGACAACATCTCATCTGACCGCAGTTCACTGTTGTTCTACTGAAGCTCCCTCGTCACCTGCACCTTTTCCGTGCGTGTTTGACTAGCACCTGGCGCTGAGGTGAAGTTGGAGTGCATGTCTGAAAAGACTCCCATTTGATGTGGTCGTAAAGACGTTCTGCGTCTAAATAAAAAGAGACAGAAGCAGCAGTTGTGAGTGGGGTGGCCAACCCTAGCTCCGCCTCTGTGTTAATTGCATTAAATATTTTTAAAGCCGTTAAACTGAAAAAATTAATCACATGCGTTAACGCGCTAATTTTGACAGCACTAATTTACACGAAAATTATGCATCCATTGTGAAAAATCATGCAAACATTATTCACACCAGGCTTAAGCATAACACACTATCAGCACTATCAATATGTTAAACTCCTCTCTGAGAAGTTGTGTCTCTTTAATTATTTCGCTTTAAAGCACAGCCATTTACATTGGATTTACATTGCATCTAAATCAAACTGAAAAGAAAAACTTGGTAAAGCTCACAAATAGTCTGTTGGTAAACGACTAGTTGCCCAACTTCTCTAATCTCTCTAAGGAAGCAATGAAGATGGTTTTGGCACAGCTGACCAGGCATTGCATCCATCTTGATGTTTTCCTTCCTTTTCCTTTCCTCCAATCTCAAGTACCTCTCATGATGAAAGACCTTCTCTCTCTCTCTCTCTCTCTCTCTCTCTTGGCTGTTACTTGCATTTCAAGATGGTGAACATTGGCTCATCTTACAGCTATGGAACAGAGGACCAGGCTGAATTTCTCTGTGTGGTGTCAAAAGAGCTGCATACCTCAGGTGGAGGTTTGGGGACAGAGCAGAGCCACAAGACTAAGGTTGGAGGACCTACAGACACATACACTCATTTTGTGCTCTCCGTGCCAGCTCACAAACACTGTAAAGCACAGTGACTCATTCCTCCAAAACATGCTTACAACCTACAAAATCTGCATCTTTTCATCTCATTCCACATCAATAGCCTTGAGATCCATTTGCACACCTACTCTTCACATATTCATAAATCTTTTTCATTTTTTTTTTTTTTTTTTTTGCTATGCCATCATCTGTCGTTCTTCAATCCCTCCGGTTTCTGTTCACCCTGTTGTCCACTCATAACACAACTAGACCTCGGACACACAGGAGGAGGATGGAGCGAGGGAGGAAGATGAGGAGGAAGAGGGAGAGAGAAATGCCACCCCCAATGAGTGGATTAGAGATTAGCAGAAACATGTGTCAAAGGAATTGGTGAGGAAATGCCGTCATGTTGGTTGTATTAGTGGAAGATGGTTTTAATCTAGCAGTCGGAAGGTTTTGGTAAATTGCATTTCAGTGCACCAAATTAAACGATCTCATATAAACAACAGTCAATCTATATCAAATTTTTGACTGTAAAAATAGTCCTCTCATGTAAGGTTGTGTAGTTTTACTTGCCTTTTATGAGAACAGTGCACTGAAATGGAATAGCCAGAAATATTCCTAGAAACTCCCAAGCATGATTTTCCCTCGTAAGTAACTTATCCATAAAACACAATTCATAAGTGTGCAGACAATCTATTGTGCCACTTGAATAAATGTAGCTTTAAAATGGGATTTTTAGCACAGGTCATCAGACCAGAAATGGTGACCGAATGACTCCTCAATATTTAGCACAGCATCTGTTCCATAAATTGCCATTGTGTCACTGCCATCTCCACCCATATCCACATCTTCAGCAAAAATTATCTTTGTATTACATGGAATATACAAGGAGGCATATTTCACAATCTACACTATCCATATCAGGAATTATTAGTAATTATATATTTCTGTAGCTATACTCTACCGTTAAAAAGTTTGGGGTCTGTAATATTTTTTTTATGTTTTTGACGTCCCCTAAGCTTACCCAAGGCTGCATTTATTTGATCAAGAATACAGTAAAACTGTAATATTGTGAAATATTATAACAATTTAAAATAGCTGTTTTCTGTTTTATAGGGGTCATGAAATGGAGAATCAAAATGTTCTTGATGTTTACAAATGTAAGAGATTACTCTACCATAAAAACATACGGCAAGTTTCAGAACTAAAAACTCCCGAGTTTAAAATATTAATTATTCTTTTATACCCTTCTGAAATGCCCGGATTTGAAATCGAGAGAATCGTCACAATCGTGACATCATGTGTCGCAATCAAGGAGGTGGATTCTGAACAACAAATGTTGGTCCATCAATCACAAGAGCGATATTGCCGTTTGATAAAGATGTCGAGTAAGACGTTGTTCTGTCAGTGGATATTACGGAGACCCTAAAGGGACCTTTGCAAAAATAAAAAAGTTCCCTTTAGGCCGGGGCTCTGTAGGATGTAAAGAAACTGCACCTCCAAAAACTTTGCATAGCCTTCCTATGCATGGCAAAAGTTTATTTTTAATGATGTGCCTAACTTAAAAATAAAGTTCTCATTTGTTTTTCACATTTTACAACAGACATTTTTTTTTAATGCTGCTGGTTTTTTAAATGATCTTTTATTGAACAATACGGCAATTCGGAGGCAATGCAGGTAAATGCATTTATTTTGAATCTTATTCGTCAAACCAACATTTAACGATGTAAGTGTTGCTAATACAATCAGTAAATAAATGGATATGGTGCAATGAAGTTAGCCAATCACAGCAGTGGGCTTTTACTTCCGTTTCTGCAGTGTTTTTAAAATGAGGATTTTTACAAATATTAGACCTTTTTGGTACAAAAAAACGTTGCAAACTTTATGAACCTTGAGAAACATGCTATAAAAATCTGAAACCGCATTTTATGACCCCTTAACTACATTTTTAAAATGTAATTTATTCCTGTCGCGAAGCTGAATTTTCAGCAGCCATTACTGCAGTCTTCAGTGTCACATGATCCTTCAGAAATCATAATAATATGCTGATTTGGTGCTGTGCTGCTAAATATTTTTGTGGATACTGTGATACTTTTTTCAGGATACTTTGAATACCAATAAGATTCAGAAGAACAGCATTTATTTGAAATCTTTTGTGACATTATAAATGTCTTTGTCCCTTTTGGTCAATTTAATGCAATTAATTTATAAATTTATATTAAAAGAAATCTTACTGACCACTTGAACGGTAGTGTATTTCTGTGTCTATAAGATCTTTTACAACTCTCTTGCAGCTGTTCCAGATCCATGGGTCCCGGATGTAGGATACAAAGAAATTTATTTTTCTAGATATCCATTTATTGCTGTTTTTATAGCCATACTTTTTTAGATTTGTTGACTTGAACAACGGGTATTAGCGGGAAACAAGAACTTCACATCCAGCAGCAAAAAATGTTATTGTTTTAAATTAAAATGTTCCTGAAAGCAAAAGGTACCCAAGGTATTAAAAAAGACACAGTTCCTTACAGTCTCTTAGTACATGGCCTGTTACCAAAGAGTGCAACCTAGTTATGGGATACTTTACTAAATATAAAGCTTTTAAACAAAAACTAAAGAACTTAGTCTGGTTTAGTCAGGAAATACATTGTCATCAAGGATGGAAAGACTGTGTGGATATGAGACTGTAATCAGTTATTTAGTATTTAGAGTTTAGGTTTTGCACTTTTACTTTAGCAGAAGAAGGGCGGCTCTGCTACATGAACAGATCATGTTCTGTTCCATTTAGCATCAGCTGTGGGTACAGTGCCAGCAGTGTCACCCTGGCAGACCACCAGCAGTGCACTTTAGCCCCATTTAAAGTCTGCGGTGGTTCATTTTGATAGTCGTTTGCACCAGCTAGAAGGTCAGGGTGTCATTAGAGGTCATGATATTACAGGGCTCGGGATGTTGTGGTTCTGCTTGTGTTTGTTTGCTGTTTATGGATTTTTAATAGGTCCTGGGCAGAGTTTACTTCAAATGAAGTTCAGATAATGTGCTGGATTATGTGTTTTGTGTGAAGGCTAGATTTCTTTCAAGGGAACAAAGCCTGGCAATCAAAATCGTTCAAATCAACATGCCTCAATTCAACAAATGATCAAGCACCTTTTGCTCCCTACAGCCATGCATATTAGCATTCTTTGGGATTTTTATGTGCTGTGGGCTGATTTGCATGCCTAAGCTTGTTTATTATTAAAGGGGTCATATGACGTTGCTAAAAAGAACATTATGTTGTGTATTTGGTGTAATGCAATGTGTTTATGCGGTTTAAGGTTCAAAAAACATTATTTTCCACATACTGTACATTATTGTTTCTCCTCTATGCCCCGCCTTTCTGAAACGCGTTGATTTTTACAAAGCTCACCGGTCTGAAAAGCGAGGTGTACGCTGATTGGTCAGCTATCCAGTGCGTTGTGATTGGCTGAATACCTCAGTCGTGTAACGGAAATGTTACGCCCCTTACCATACTGTGATGCCATTTGTCCCGGCGCGACAAGACAAAAACATTAAAACCCATTACAAACGAGGCATTTGTTGCATCCAGTGGGAACATAATTACTGATTATAATGACTTATACTGTCTTTTTACGCATTGCGTATCGCGCCACGAAAACAAAACCATGTCTGCATTTGTAATCGGAGAAACAACAAACGCAGAAACGCCAGACTGTCCTTGCAAAGTTGGAACTGCCCAACTTTATAGAAACAGACACCGGCATTGTAGGCTACTCTCACAGGAAACAGTCCTCATCCTTTGCAAAATGCTCTGCACACATCTGAATATTTGGGTTGTGCCACATGTGGCGATCCCGGGCTGGACTCCGCTTCGTCCACGGTGAAAGCCGATCCGGCGATCTACAGCGCGAAGTTGATGTATTTCCTCAGCAACCAGCACGGATCAACTCTAGGCATGACGAAGCGGATATTAAAATTGAAATAGCATCATATGACCCCTTTAAATATGCTGTAGTTTTGCACAAATTTGCAAAGATACAGTGCCCCAAAACATGTTTGGACATTTAAGCCACAGTTAAACATGTATGAATGTGATTGCATTATATAACAGAATAGCAAACCAAGTGGCTGATAGCCCAAGCACACTTTTCAAGCAAAACAGTTCTGCGAAGGATGTTTATTAGGTTTTTGTAGTTACTCTGATAGGACACCTAAGCCATGGGAAACTGGTTTCATTTATCATATATATATGCTAAAAATAGCCTTGGGACCAGTCGATTAAAAATAATTTAAAGAAATGCTTAGTTCTGAGAAAAGGTCATGCTTCATTTGTTTGCAGATGACACTTGGTTTGATATTTCCTATTTAATGCAGTAAAATTCTTTTTTAAATGCGTTTTAAATGTCACTCAAGTGTTTAGAAACTGTATTTGGATGGGTAAAATAATTTTTGTCATGTTTGATGACAGCATTATCAGTCAAAACTGACTTTAAAGTGTCTTTTTTTAAAACGTATGTTCTGTTTGTAATCTCAACAAGACCTATTATGATTATAACTGCATTTATACAGAGAGAGGAAAGAGGTGTTTGCAAACGCAATTTTGTAGCTCAGTGTGTTACTGGGTCAATCAATTCTTACTCTGTCCCCGTTAGCTGCCACTATGTTCTAGAACTGTGAGGATAATAATTGTCTAGACCGAGAACAGTGAATTATATGAAACGGAGATATCAAACTCCAACTGTTTAGATGCAACTGATGTAGAAGCAGCAAAAGTTTTGATACAACACATATCTTATTAGCGTGTCAGTGCTGTACACTAGTAATTTCTTTCAAGTTTGTACTGGTGTGTTGAACAAATCTTATCACTGCATTGAATTTCAGAAGTATGTTTTAGTTTTAAAGTTTATCTTGTAAGTGTTGATAGCATTATTTTATATGGCCTTTTTTATAATCATACTGTGCCATTCATTTGTATTTATTTTAGTCTAATAAATGACAGATTATGTTGCTTGTCAGGGCACAGGTGATGTTTTGGTTTATATTGAATTTTATTTTGTACACATGTAATGCCCATTTTATTTTTTACGCTTTTGTTTCATGTATGTTATGTTACATAGACAGTGTCATCAAAATGAATACTTTTTTTTTTTTGCCTTTTTCTTTCTTTCGTGTTTGACTATTTTTATATTTATAGGCAGTGTGTATACTTCCACTCTGAGCTCTCACATTACACTTATTTATTAAATATGGGATGTGTATTGGCTTATTAGTGTAAAAGTTAATAGAATTTTATTTATTTTGTGTTTTCTTTATACGTGTACTTTAGATGTCATGTAAAATTATGTACTTTAATTCATACACACTGCATATTTCATGCGTTTTGATTAGCATTGAAAGCACAATATCGTGTTGAGACAAACCCCTCAAGTTAAGAAAATGTTTAGTAATAATTACTAATGGTTTTCTGAACTTAAAGGGTTCTATTGGAACCGGGCTCAGACCCTTAGTAGTGCATGTATGCCAAAGAAAATTAGATTAATGTTTCTCTTCAGCCAAGAGAATATCTTTTAGCGCAGAAAACAATCATGAATTAGATGTCCAAGCAGCATTATTGTGTAAATAGTTATCAGAATAATTCAAATAAAGCTCAAAGGGGGGTTTTTTTCCATAAAAATTCTGCCGTGTCTGAAGTGTTTATCATGTTTATTATATTTACATGAAAATGTAATATCTTACCTATGAAATGCTGTTACACTCACATGCTCCATGAACACTGACCAACAGCATATATACTGCAGTTTGTTGTACAGTGCTTAAAATCACAGCATGCAACGCTAAAACACTAAGTATCATGTATGTTTGTTTTAATAAATCCAAATATACAGTATTTACATTTTGAAGTGATTTACAATGAAATCCAGTTCTGTTAGCAAGATGCTCATGTGGCAGCAGTGGCGGCTTGTGGGTTTTAAAATAGAGGAGGCACACTAATTGTATTGGTCTGGGATCCCTGCCGATTATTATTATTATAATTTGCTTAACCACTTTAAAATGGCTTTTTGGTTGCTTTTAGTCAGAAAACGACATACATACAGCAGTGTTAATTCTGCATGCATTGGAGGAGCTGCATGAGTGTGGCATAAGGGTACTCTGCATCACGATGGATGGACATGCCTCCAACATTAGTATGTGCACCCAGCTTGGGTGCCAGTTAAAGGCAAACCCAATTTCAGCGATATGTCTGCACCTATTGATTTAGCCAGGATCACTTGGAGCTCCTCTTCAATTCTATCAGGGCATCAGGTAAGGATTTCTGAAATTTGCAAATATATAAAAAAAAATCATTTGAAAAGTGCAAATATCAGTATTAATTATTATTTATATGTCTATGGGCACGAGAGCTCGCCTCTCCCCCTCCCCTTCTCTATAATTAGCAGTTGTAATTACATCAGCAGATTCGGCACATTCGCGATAGAAAAGCGGCGCTTTCACGTTATGGTATTACAACTGTGAAATTACAAACAAAAAATACACATTCTGAGACATGAACTGAAATGAATTGTGAATTTTATTGACATTAAATCGTCCTCCTCCCATTTTCACCTCAAAATTATGGGGAAGCTGTGCCTCCCCCGACGAGCCGCCACTGTGTGGCAGAGTGTTAGTATAATGTGTAGCGTTGGCTTTGCAGGTATGTGCTAAAACTGTCACCAATGGCCAGGTCTAGATACTCTGGCTGCTCTGTGCAATCCATTTCCACTTCCACTATGAGCTTCCTGTGGTGTGCTGAAAGGGTCTTTCTCTTCCACAAGCTGGAGGGCCGCTTCTCCAGACATGTCTTTATCATTTGAGACAGGTCCTGCTGCAGATTCTGGAAGTTTTCCCTGCCAGGAGGAGAGTTCACAGTGATGAAATCTAAGTGATGAGTTCAAAGTTGGGTTTTAAGGATTAATAAGGATCATAAAATGGCCAAATCACACTGTTGGAGGTGATGGTAGCTTTAGTATGTTACTCAAGACATCAAAATACTTATTTTAAAGCACAACAAAAGATTATTAAAATATAATGATTTAAAATGAACTTTCAATTTGACATTATTACAAAGTACACTTTTTAAAAGTGTATTACAAAACTCATGAAAGCTGACTTTTATTTCATTTATATTATATTATCTGCAAGTCCAGTTTTTAAAAAATATACTTTTAAGATTTGAAATACACTACAAGTGCACATTTACAGTAATACAGTTAGATACACTTCTTTTTCACAAGGGATGAATACAATAACTGATCTAAAGTGGATTTCTAAGGATCTAGGCAGCATGGTCTAAAGCAAGAAACAAGGAAACAATCAGTGTGAAGACACTTTATATATAGTACAGTTTCTATAGAGCATGTCAAAGGAATTACCAGAACTGACTGCAAGATCGTTTAAAATTCAGACCCCCTCACAGTCGCTACGGGTGCAGCATTTTTTCAAGTAGTAAATGGTTTGAAACCCTCTGAAACAAATAAATCCTTAAACAATTCAAATTGGATTCAAACTATAAAATCAATTTGGCATATTGTAGTTAGTTGTCATTAATTAAAATCTTGTGTTTCTTTTGTTTAACATAATTATGGCTTCGCAAGACTGTAATTTAAATAGTCTCTCTTCATATTCTATTAAATGTTGTCAGGATCATACTTTACCGTCTTCAGAGTTGATCTCAGAAATACAATGCTGGCAGCACAATCTGATAGGTACACTGTAAAAAATGACCGTGAATTTAACGGTAAAAGACTGTAAAAATGCTACAGTAAAAGCCTGTTAAATGGTTAACGGGCACTTTTCGCTATCGATTTGTGCTACCTATCTTTTTAATAATTGGAGGTATAGCACAATCTGAGCGGGTAGCACAAATCGTCAGAAGCTTTACAAAATTGATACTCCAGGGTGACACATCGTCATCCAATAAAATAACATTCATCAGTAGTGTTCCATTAAAGCAAGACTCTTTCATGGAGTGACTTTGCTTTAGGAGTGTCCGTGATAGACATGCAAATAACCACATACTGTAGTCCATATTCAAGAAGAAAGACAAAATGCAGTTTCTCAGCCTTTGAGGTCAGCACAATGTTTATTATTATCTTTATATTTTTTCTTGTAGATGTACTTGAATGTGCCACACTCATTGTGTTGTGCTTACACATTCGTTTCCAACACATATATGCACCTGGTGCTTCCCCTCAATAAT